CTCTGTGCTCTTCATGATGAGATGTGGGAAGTACTTGACATTGGGCCATTCACAAGCTTCCAGAAGGTCAACCCTGAGCATGCTATAGACAACACCAGACCTCAGATGATCAATAAAGCCAAATCTGAGTGGACTACTGAAGAAAGAAGAAAGTATAACCTTGACAACATTGCAAAGGACATCCTCTACAAGTCCATTGATGATAGGTACTTCAACAGAATCAAGAAGTGCAAAACTGCCAAAGAAATCTTGGATACTCTTGAGCTCATTGGAGCAGGTGATGAGCAAAAGAAGGATAACAAACTGACGATAACCAACAAGAAGTTTGATGATTTCAAGCTTCTCCCAGGTGAAAGCATCTCCAAGATGTATGACAGACTCCTCACCCTCACTGGAGAGATTTCTGAGCTTGGCAAGGAACTCACCACCAAGGAGATCAACCTCAAAGTGTTGAGAGGTCTTACTTCAGCATGGAAGATGAAGGTGGCTGTTGTTCAAGCCAGAAAGGATGTGAAGACATACCCCACAGACAAGCTCATCTCAGATCTCAAAGCTCATGAGTTCGAGATGATTGAAGAGATGGAAGATGTACCAGAGGAGAGGACAACCACAGCTCTCACAGCCAGTACATCTAAGATAAATGATTTTGACCCTTCAATTCTTTTATCTAACGAATATATGGCTGCCTTTGCCAGGAGATTCAAGAAGTTTATGAAGAATCCCAAAGATGGAAGAAGTCCATCTACCAGCAGAAAACCGTTCCAGAAGACCAAGTCTGCAGATACCAGTGGAGAGCTTCTCTGTTACAACTGCAGACAACCCGGACATTTTAAGGTAGATTGTCCACATCCAAGAATGTCCAAAAGACAAGAACAAGATGGAGAGAGAAAGAAATATGAAGACAATACTAGAAGGAGGAAAGCACTCGTCACAGAACAACTTGAGAAAGACCCTCTTTCTAAGACAGAATCCAGTTTTGACTCTGATTCTGATGAGGCCTTCTGTTGCCTGGATGCTGAGACAGAAGACCTATGCCTCATGGCCCAATCTGATGATGAGGTAACCTATACTTCTACATCTAGTTTTTCTTCGGTAAGCTTAGCTTTTGATTCTGATTCAATGTCAGAATTTTGGGAAGAGTTTAAGGCCATCCAAGCCACTTATTCCTCTGTTACAGAAGAAAACAGTAGGCTGAAGGTTGAGATTCTTGACTTAAGAAAGGAGGTTGAGACCAAAATCAATCTTCTAATTAAGGAGAGAGATCAGCTGGAAGCTGAAAATGTTTCTCTTTTCAAGAGAATAAGAGAAATTGAGCCTCTTGAGATTAAGTACAAAGCTTACCAGAAGGCCCAGTCTTCCATGGAAAAGATTGTACTTGATCAACAGATTGACTTTGGTTTTGGTCTTGGGTATGGCTCAACAGAATCAGGTGAGCCGTCTGTAATGCCTAGCACCAATGTTGCTAAGGCAGATAAGGTCATAGTGCCACTGAAATCTAGCCCCATCTGCCAAGCTGGTGTATCTGGCACCAAAGTTATTCATGAGGAAGTCAAACCAGAAAAAGGAAAGATAAAGGTTCAACAGAAACCCGTTTTGAAAATCAATGAACCTGGCAGAAAATCTAACAACAGAAAGGGTTTTCAGAATAATAAAAATCAAAGACAAGTTGTCAACAGATAACCTCATGATAACTGTAACACCCCCAAATTTCCCACCCAAAAATACCTTTAAAAATAACTTTATTTATTGACTTTATTTGAAAACGTCAGAATTGTGCAGTGGAAAAGCAAAAGGGAAATAGGGGCGTTACCGCCACACTCGGTTCTAACCTAACCGAGTGCACAGGCTAAAACAATTTAAACTCAAAATAGATTAAACTTCTAAAATAAATGTTCACTAATTTAAGATGCTGAAAATGTAATTACAATTATTTACTAATTTTGTGTTCTAGCGGAAGCTCTCTCGAAATCAACTTCAACGAGATCAACTCAACACTGTACAAAATCAAGTACAGAAAAAAAGAAATAAAAGAAACAAACATTAGCAACAATGCTAAGTAAGTTCCACCTAACCCCAAAAATAAATAAATAATATATGTATATTTGTAAAACATTTCGTAAAATATATTTTTATAAATCATAAGTAAAACAACATTTATAAAATATTCTTATAACACAAATAATATGCAAAATATCAATATTTCAAATATAAGTACATATTTCAAAACCATAATAATTTCAAAATATCAGTATACATAAACCACCAAATATGATCACAATTATTCCAAACCATAAATCAAACATCAAATATTCATCTCAAAATACATATAAATAATTATAAACGATATTCAATATAATCAAACCAAATCAAATCCAAAAGTATTTATTCTCTAAAAAATCCATAAATAATTTAATAACTCAATTCAACTCAAATTCAATCCAAATATAATCAAATCGAATAATCCAACAATTCTAACAAATCCAATAACTTAATTCCACCACAAATCCAATCAAATAATATTCACCTCAAGTCCAAATCAAACCAATCAAATAATCTCAATCACCTCACACCAATCAAATTGGGGATTTTTCACAAACAGACTAAAAAGGAAATTAATTTCACTTTTTTGATGTTTCAATTTTTTTTTCAAATGTAGACTGCATATGCGTTTCTTTTCAGTAAAAGCCCTTCAACACTAATCCATCTTAACTGGGGGCAAACGCCGAAATAGCTATAGGAAGAAGTATAGAAATTCGAGCAAGTACAACTTTACACGTCGGAGTACATTACAAATTCTAAATCAATACAAATCTAGATATAATATAAAAAAATTAAAAACATAAATAACTAAAACACATTTACAAATTCTGGATATTAGGAGACTAATAAAAATCGTAAAAAGGTATTCAAAATTAAATAAATGTTAAAATTATGAAACTCGGCTATGTAAATATTTATTAAAATTTATAGTATGTGAGCAAAAATAAAAAAAATTAAAAACGAAAAGTACAATAAATCCTATACACTAAAAAACCTTAAAACTAAAATTTATGATGAATAATTAATAAAATAAGATAAAAATGTATTGAAACTATTAAAAATATGACAAAATGTTGAAACTGATAATAAAAGGGTAAAATTTAGTAAAACTTACAAACTAAAAAATATAAACTAAACTTATAAATTCTATACAATTTAAATATTTTTAAAAATACTCGTCAATAACAGATAAAAATAATTAGAAATTTTTAAAAGACCAAAAAGTTTAAAATTAAAGTGCTAAATATTCTAGAAAATGAAAATAAATACATAAAATACATGATAAAAAATATAAAATGAAGTAAATTATAAAATTAAGCAAACAAATAACCTATATATATTCAGAAAGATACAAAAAATATAAACAATTTATGGTAATGCCGAAATATAATACATGTACATTTTCTAAAATGAAAATGTGAAAATTTTCATTAATAAAATACTAAAAATTTGTAAAAATATAAATTCCGTGGTTTTAAAATGTGCTAAAAGGCTCTCAAGTAAATCTATGATATTTTATAACACTCAAAAAACAATAAATAAACTTATGATTATGACATACTCATACATTTTAGTTATTGTTATTATTATTATTAATAATATTATTATTATTGTTATTATTATTATCATTTAATTGTTACTTTTGTTGCATATTGTTTCTTTGTGCTTCTTTTTGTTGATACTTTGTTTTTTTTTGTTTCTTCATGTTTCTTTTTGTTTATTCATAAATCAAGATTTATCTTTTTTGTTATTTGTATATACATATATATGATTTTTATTCCAAATAAGTAAGGAATATAAATATAAATCTAAATAGACAAAAAATATTAACCCACCCCTGGAATCGCACTGCGCACGTCCCCAACAACCCTTTTTACTTTTTAGTGCTCTACACCTCCTCTTTGATACAGAGTAAAACATTACGGTGTAATGGTGTATAAGCTAAGCACCAAGATATATTTAATTAATTTTTTTAGAAAGTTTTATTTTAAAAAACAAATGTACTAAAATGTAAAAAATATTAAAATAATTAAAGATAAAAATAAAAGAAAAATAGAAAATTGAAATATAAAAATATAAGAAGTAAGGAAAAACAGAAAATGCAAAAAAATAAATATAAAGTCTAAAATAGAACATGTATTTACATTTTAGAAATTTTAAAGAGTTTCTGTACCCCATAATTTATATAAAAATATTGAAAAAAATTAAAATAAACATTTTTTTGTGAAATTAATACAAAAAGGAAAGGAAAATATATAGAAAATATAAATATAAAATGTAAAAAAATTGAAAATTTTCTCAAAAATATAAAAAAACATATAATTTAAAAACGTAATACTTGTTTCTTTTTGTTGATAATTATAAAAGATTTCATTTTTATTGTTTATTTTTGTTTCTAGTTGTTTTTATATTCATAAATCTAAATTTATAATTTTAAATGTTTGCACAGAAATTAATATTAGTTTTTTTTAATTTCCAGAAAGTAGCCAAGATGAATAAATACCTAAATATTAAACTACAAATCAACAATAAACAACAATAAGTTGCACACTACAACAAAAAGCAACATGATGCAACAAAAAACAACACGATGCAACAAAAAGAAACACAATGCAACAAAATGAAACAATTCTAATACAATAAAAAGAAACACAGTGCAACAAAATGAAACAGTTGTGATACAACAAAATGAAACAACGAACATCGTAAAAATGTATCACAATTCACAACTGATGTATAATTCAATCAGTTACTACCTCCGTCCCAAAAAACTTTGCCATTTTCAAAACTTTGACCGTCTATATCTTTTTATTGAAAATTATTTATAATATAAAAGTTATATGAAAATGTTCTTTGTTAAAAGTACTTTCATAAAAGTATAAAATTTACAATTTCCATTATATTATACTTATCAAAATCAATGTTCAAATTTTTTGAAATGACAAAGTTTTTTGGGACGGAGGTAGTATTTTAATTTATTAAATCTATATATTATATTATTTGCCTTTGTTTGATCACATTTCTTCTTCCTTGTATGCACCTTAATGCAGAATCCATCAGAATTGACTCTCATTTTCAATGGTGCCAAAATAAGAATAATCTAGCCTAAATACAAATGCAGCCATCTGTCACTCGGGATAGAGTGAACTCTTGAAATTGATGACTTGTTCAGGACACTGAAAGAAGAGCAGACAGACTCTACTCTACCCTGTTTCTCCTTTTCTATTGAAGAGGAGATTGATTCATTTCCTCAGCTGCTTGAGTAGATAAACTTTTTTCTTTATGAAGAAAACAAAAACAATGGCAATTCAAGCCTCAGGAGCCATTATCCATGTGAAAGTTGATCTTCTTCACCTACAACTGCAGAGATTCCAATTCAAAATTTTGAATTACAGTCACTTAATAGTCAACCTTACATGATATACGACAAAAGCTAAGCCAACTTTCTATTCCCACCCAATAAGGAGCTATGCATTTGCAAATAGTAGGTTCCAATGTCTTTTTTTGTGACAGCACAATAAGATTCCAAATTCTAAACACCAAACTTGTTTCATTTTGATAACTTTAGTGGAGTTTAGGAGAGAAATGCTAAGCAAGTCCTTCCCGCACTCCACACAATGTATGTCAATCACCAAATTGCAAGAAAACAAAGACACACTAAGCAGCAGTAGAAATTCTAAGTTACGGTTGAAATAAGTGAGATACACCCAACCACTTTGAGAAGTTTTCGAACTCTGTGTAATCACTATCAGATATCATACCCTCGGGCTTTGCCCCTCCCCTTCCGTTGGACTTTCTGTGGATGCTTGAACTGGCCTCGGCTCTCATCCTGATGATATAGAGTCCTTCGATGATCTATAGAGAAAAGAGCAAGGAGGTTCCAAACATGTGGGGAGATTTATATATGAAATGATTAGAATCGGAATGATTCCAGTGCAAGTAATGCAAAAACGGCTCCCATAGAAAGTACATAACAGAAATGTGCAACCACATAATAAGTATCATGTAGAGCAATGTCTAGCCCAGAATTTGCCAGAACTATTCCGGTGAGTCCTCCTATGGGTTCTCGGATGTAATTCAGGTTTTTTCATATATTTGAATGAATAAATTGGGTCAAGTAAAGTCCTGACCCAATTTGAATGGAGATCTCTTTTGTATTCCTGCACTTCGTTTTTAATTTCATGTATTTTAAGTTTTGGGTCAGGTAAAGTCCCCCCAAAATTCTCTTTTAGTATTGAATCATGTTCTTTTAGAGGTATGCCTCTAAGGAGAGGTTTTCGTTTGGTCCCCCTCTCTTTTGTATTACTCTTCAATTATTAATAAAACCTGGCAAACGTTCCCCGGCGCTTGCCCCACTGATTTTGGTGGTTTACCTTCCGGGTTTAAAAAAAAATGAATGAATAAATTGGATTTGCTCTATTAAATTCATTGCGGTGGAAGGCTATCGTCTTACCATGCTTTCCCAACAGCCCTTACTAACTTGCTTCCAATATCTAAATCCAGCAAAACTAAGAAAATCAACCAAGGCCTATTGCTTATTCACTAGATACAAGAAATTAATTAATGAACACAAAGGATAAACTTCATCATAATGGATGAAGAACATAAATTTGCTGAACAAAGGAGGATGAAGAACATAAATTATTCACCTTATAAATATTGTTTGGTACTCTGCTTGGTGAGATTAGAATACATTTTTCCCTGATTTGAGTGAATCGATGCGATTCAATAACAACATACGATAGGACGATTGCTAAGGAGGATCTAAAATGGCTATCTGAAGCACATCTCATCCAACTGGAAGTAAATCCGCACAATATGGAGGACGGAGCACGGAGCTGTGAGAGACGAAGGGCGGAGAGCGGAGTCGCACATGACGAAGTCCAAACGGCGGAGCGCGGAGCTGCTGAAGCTGGAGGCGTAGCCAGAGCTGGGAAGGAGTAGAATAATCGTACATCTTTCAGCTGTGGAGAAAGCAACGGTTCTGAGGCTCGTCGATTGCTTGGATTGGTTGAGAGCTGCAGGAAGATTTTGATTTAGGATTTGGGCTATTTTTGAAATAAGAAACTAAAAGTGAAAAGATGAGAGTTAAAAATGAAAAGTAAATTATTAGGAGACATAAATGAAATGCATTTACAAAAAGTGAACCTACCCGGATATTTCCACAATCAAATTCCGGTCAAACCAAGTCCAGTGGATATCCAAACCAATCAAAGTCTAATGGAAGCCGAACTCCTACCTTAAGTGTGCACACCCCCTAAAAGGGATTCCAAGCCCTCCGGGTAGTAAGAAGCCCGAGTAGTCGGGATTTTTCTACCAACTACACTACAATTAAGCTGGGATACTCCGCTTTTGGGAAGTACCCCTGGTGGATTTAGGCTTAGAGCCATTACCACTCACCAAATATTCCACATTTATCCGGATGTGGCAAACCGACACCACGAATTTCTCCGGGTGCTCACAAAATCATAATTCAATCTCAATCAAAACGGATATGAAATCCAAACTCCACAAAATCATCCACAATGTAAAATATTAACTCCAACAAACTACACTCGAATTTACCATACAATAAAATTTCACAAAAAGCCAAATACTTCATAAATATAATCCCAATAACAATTAATAAGATATCTCAAATACTCAAAAATATCATCCAATATCCAATACTCAAATCTCAAATATACTTCTCAATAACAATCGATAAGAAATTCCAAATACTCAAATGTAAATACTAGAAATCTCATAAAGTACTCAAATAATTTCAAAAATGATTTACGAGGGAAAAATATAATGTTGGTTGACGTGAAACTTACCTCAAATCGCGATAACTCCTAACCGAAACTTCTATCTTGATCTTCTTCCGAATTTGCCTTCTATTAAAAATTCTCAGGTCAATATCCTATCAGCTTAGTAAAATTCCTCTACCCTTTATTTATAAACTCACCCTCTTATGATTTAGTTGTTTCAATAATAATTATTCTCTATAATAAACTCATTTTATTAATCACCTTATATTATTATATAGTTTTAATTTTATACAAGTACGTACATTTCTAACATCCAACATTTTTTTTACTAAAGTTACGGTTTAGAAAATGAACTATAAGTCATTATGAGTAACCCAAATTATTTGTTCATCCTCATTATCCTTTCAATCTAATTATTATTGTTGTTGTTATTATTATTATTATTATTAACCCAGCCAATCATAACTAGCAGTCCGGCCCAAACTTAACAAAAATGAGAAAAGAGCAATGCGTACATACGTACTGTCTTCCTCAGGGGTTGACGCCGACAACGCAGAGTAGAGAGACGGCAACCATTCCATACGATGACGGCAAATGGTCAGCGGCGAACTCCTCCTACAGCGAGATGCGGCAGTCCCCACCGGCGAGCGGCGGAAAAGATCCACTCTCCTAGCACTTGTCAACTCCGGCGAACTCCGGTTTACCATTTTTAACAGCGACGGCCTTCCCTTCCGATAGTGGTATAGGCGTGTTCAAGAAGTTCAGCGGCATCCTGATCTAAGGCGCGGTAGCGGTTAGGCTCTGGCATAAAACAGTTCGGCGTACAGCGAGGTCCTCTTCCGACGAAACCCCATTTCTTCTTCCGTCTAGCTTCGTACTAGTTTCTCCGACGTGGACGACATTCTTTTACATGCGACGACTGGCCCTCACTCCTCTCTAACTCATAGACTGGAGTTCGTAGTTTTGTTTTCCTCGCATGTCTCACATATATTTGGTTCGTAAGTGTTGGTCCAAAATAGAACGCTCGTAGGCTTTTAGGAAAGCTACGTAAGAACACTCAAGCAGGAATTAGGAAAGTACGAATATGGAAAGTTGCAAAGGGAATTTGGTAGCCAGAAATTGCATATACAAATTGATTCCTCTAATCTGAATTACAACACGCCTTTTATAGGCGTATACGAATCGTAACTGCTACCGATAATAATGACTAATTAATTACAACATTAATACAGAATTAAATACATAATTAATAGCGCATTAATTGCTTGACCGTTACTCTTCTGGGCTGGGAGGTCGGCCGGACTGGCAGGCTCCCCGCTGGGTTGACAGGCAGGCTCTAGGTTGTGGACTTGGATCCACGAGTCCAAGTTCGGGGCTTGGGCTAATTAGGCTCTGGGCCTAGTCCTATTACTCCATCACGAGTCCCACACTCCCTTAGTCGAGTAGTAAACTCGGCTAAGAGGGAGTAGTCCAAGTCAGTTGCTCTTCTCCGAGACTAGAAGATCCCCGCCCTTGTCCATGTTGGGGAGATGCCTCATTAAAACCATTCACTAGGAAAAAACCCAATGGGAAAAAATCCTAATGAAGGGGAAAAGAGTACACCTGATGCCCCCAAGATGAAGCAAGAGGTGAAATTTTCAGCCTTTTATTGCCATGGTCACCATCTGTGAAGAGGATGGCTAGAACCATTCTTCTCGTCGGGTTCGGACTCATCAAGCTCGTCTTCGTTCAGTCGTACCTACACATAAAAGTAACAAGTGTAGAATAGAGCATCTAGCCCGGTGTCGAACCATGGCTCAGTGTGTAAGTGAGTCGGACTCACCACTTGAAAAGAGTGACACCAAGTTCCCAAGTTAGGCCTCAACCCAGTCTCCGAAAGAAAGATTGAATCCGCGAGTAAGTGAGTCGGACTCCTCACTCGAACGGATAATCCAACCCCAAAGAAGTAAAGTATATCAACCTTTTTGAGAAATGTGAATGTCAATTAAGTGACAAAATTGCTCGGAAGAGCGTGGCTCTATGCCCCTAACAAGAGTTTAACTCGCCGTCCGAGGTTAGTAGTTCGAACCCGCAAGTAAAAACTTTTGAACGGGTGACTCATCCCCCGAGGTCGGAGTGTGATGCACTATGAAGGGGTAAGAGCACGCGAGAACTCGTATTTATGAAGTCAAGAGTGTGCGGTATTAACATGTATATTGGAGCTTATTAATCGTCACACCCATATGACGTGACCCGGTGGCGCGAGTGTGTGTGCTCGACCAGTGTACGAGTGTGTGTGCTCGCCCGACGTACTTGAGTGATCAGATTTCATAAGTCTATTTTTCAATGTTAAAATTACACACACTTAACAAGAGTAAAAGCAATATATCACTTAAAATATCTTTTCAAATGTTTCGGTAATTAAATTATGATGGCTAATACGTAGTATGAAATTTGAGCACTTAACTCAAATAATATGCTGATGTAATTCGGTGCTCAAGAACATGGGCTTTCTTGATCATTGTTTATTGGGCTCAAGTGTTATGAACAACACATAGCAGGGTCACAGGAAGCCCCACCCCTGCTTGGAGAGTGCCATCAGCCCAGGTTGCCGTCGGTGGTCTCTGGCTGGCTCACCTTCTGCCATTACCACTGCTACTTGCTGCGAACCTCCTGTTTGGATGGTGCCCGCACACTAAAACGTGAAAGAAACCCAACCTTGGTCACATCAAGCGACGATGGAGGTGACGACCGCCGCCGCCACGACGGCGACTGCCCTAGCCGCTCAGAGAGAATGAAAGATCCGCGAATCTGGTCACTTACATCGGAGTTGGAAGACTTGGAGCTATGGGTCGCCACTGTGCAAGGTTGCTGCTAGACATTGAAGGTACTTCTGTTGCCAGAGAGGGGAGGAGGACCTCCCATCCGCCGTTGGCTTTGTTCGGATCTACCGGAGAGAAGGGGGAGTTGTTCGTCACAGAGGCTAAGAACAGTCGCAACATAAGAGTAATGGAAGTTGCCTGCCGCCGCTTCCATTAGAAAGACCTTCAGATACCTTGGACGGTCATCTCCTGGTATTCTTTGGATTTTCCAGGTTTGCAGGTCGCAAGTCGTGAAGATACCCTGGCCGGCCATCTCATGCTGCACTCTCGGCTCCATCTCCTGTTGCACTCTCGCCTGAAGACCTAAACATCAGCGCCGAGATGTGTTCGATGGCTGACGAGGCCGCAACTTTGGTCTTTCTGACGATGACAGCTACGGGATGTAGCAGCATCTTGGTGAGATCTAGAGCGGTCATATCTGGAACGGCAACAGTGGGACCAAGACGACAATCCTTCAACAGCAGTGAGAGGTCCCGGGCCACGGTAGGCATGTCAGGGCGCGGTGGTGGTCAGGATGGTGACATCAGCTCCTGCTGAGTAGAGTCCCAAATTTGAAACCTCCGAGGCAACAGAGACGAGCTTCAGCTCACGGCGCCTGGCGGCTGCTCCACGGCGGCGATCAATGGCGGATGGCGCCGACATCTCTACCGTTGATCTTGACAAATCCAATTTTTTCTTTCGTTTTTGCTGAATTGCAGACCTCAAAAAATGCTAGATCCTTCGATCTACCCATTTTTTCTGAATTGTTTTTGGTAATTCCTACTACAGGGATGTGAGAGACGATAGAGACTCTCAATGAAAGCACCAATGTTGGTCCAAAATAGAACGCTCGTAGGCTTTTAGGAAAGCGACGTAAGAACACTCAAGCAGGAATTAGGAAAGTACGAATATGGAAAGTTGCAAAGGGAATTTGGTAGCCAGAAATTGCATATACAAATTGATTCCTCTAATCTGAATTACAACACGCCTTTTATAGGCGTATACGAATCGTAACTGCTACCGATAATAATGACTAATTAATTACAACATTAATACAGAATTAAATACATAATTAATAGCGCATTAATTGCTTGACCGTTACTCTTCTGGGCTGGGAGGTCGGCCGGACTGGCAGGCTCCCCGCTGGGTTGACAGGCAGGCTCTAGGTTGTGGACTTGGATCCACGAGTCCAAGTTCGGGGCTTGGGCTAATTAGGCTCTGGGCCTAGTCCTATTACTCCATCAGTAAGATTCTTGATATGTTTTCGGTGTAGAGCGTGGCATGGCGTGTGTGTATATATATGCACTCCAGGAAGATTCTAGACCAGGCCGTTCCAAATAATTCGCAATACTCACGTGAATTACCGCGGAAGAAGATTCTAGGTTATCCGTTTCATTTCTCCCGTTTTAGATTTCATTTAAGACTACGCTACAAATCCCAGAATTCTCGATCCTTCGTTCGTATGCGTATGTAGGTAGGATGTTATGTATGGTATGTATATAGTATGTATATGGCAGGTCAATCTCTTGGTATATTTATCTTAATTTTATTTAATATTAATACTCCGTATGTATCTTATGTGTATATTTAGTGGAGATGTGTATATTTCATATGTAGGTTTTATTATTACTCCATATTATGTACGTAGTAACGTACTATGTAGTAGTGACTACTGCTTCCGTATTATAAGATTACGTTATTTATATAGGCTACAAAATTACATGAGTATGTACTATTTTATTTCTTTACTTTCATCTTTAATATTTTTTTATGAGATAAATTATATTTAGTCTATTTTATTTTATTTCAATTTTCGGGGTGTCACAATAACCGTGCTAGAAATGATCACCAGAAGGGCAAGTATCAAGAGAAAGTTAACTTTAGGCAGAAGAGGTTGGCTGGTCAACTCCAGAAGCCCAAAGCTAACCGCCCCTCTGCTCTTGATAGTATATGGGACTTCTTTCCAACCAAGAAAGCTATGCAAAAGTATGTAAACAGGAAGCATGACCCTCACAAGCATCTGCCCAAAGTGAATCACACTTCGGTTTACTATAACTACCAGGTGGACAATGGGTACCACCCACCAAGGTTTCACTTGATGAGACCAAAATGGTACCAACTACCCAGACTCCATGACCCCCAGGACCCAACATTGCTTGGGTACCTAAATCTTTCTTTTGATCATGCAGGAACTATGTGCTGGAGCTATCTCTGAGCAAGAATGGTTTATTGATAGTGGATGCTCCAGACACATGACAGGTGACAGAAGTTGCCTAACAGAGTTCCAGAAATGCAAAGGACCTAGAGTTACCTTTGGAGGTAATGATAAAGAAGGTCAAACAAAAGGAAGAGGGAAGCTGATCAAGAACCAGATAATTATTGATGATGTCTCTTATGTCAAAGGCCTGAAGTTCAACTTGCTAAGTGCTAGCCAATTCTGTGACAAAGGCTACACTGTTGAATTCACCAAAGACTTCTGCTATGTGAAGCATGAGACAACTAAGGAAGTGGTTCTTACAACAACAAGGAAGAAGAATATCTATGTGGTTGATTGGAAAATTGCAAAAGATGGAATATGCCTGATAGCCAAAGGAGATTCAAAACTAAGCTGGCACTGGCACAAGAAGCTTAGTCATTTGAACTTCAAAACAATCAACAAACTGGCAAGAGAACACATTGTAGAAGGACTGCCAGACATAGTTTACAAGAAAGAGACCCTCTGCAGTGCTTGCCAGAAGGGAATACAACAGAAGAACTCTCTCAAACCCATTGCTGGAGATCTCTCTACAAGTCCTTTAAATTGATCCACATGGATTTATTTGGACCTGTTGAGATTCCAAGTGTTGGTGGCAAGAAGTACACCCTAGTCATGGTTGATGACTACTCCAGATATACATGGACTATCTTCTTGTCAAAGAAAAATAAAACTCTTCAGAAGTTGCCATCTCTGTTAAAGCAACTTCAGATTGAGAAGAATTGAAGGTCAGGACAATCAGGTCTGACAGAGGAACTGAATTTGTCAACAAAGTCATTAAGGACTTCTGTGATCAAAATGGAACCTTTCACCAACTCTCTGCCGCCAGAACGCCTCAATAGAATGGCGTAGCAGAAAGG